AAAAAATAAAATAAATTTGCCAGTACTCTCAGGAATTGAAAACATGATAAACTCTCAATTTTTGCCTTTTGAGTTTAGTGGTTACTGTAAATATCATTAAAAAATGTCCAATTTAAAAAAAAAATTTGGAGACCTGAAGAAGTTTTGGTGCCAATTGAAATTAAAAATTTGAATTAAACTCAGAAAATTTCATAGCAATGGGTAAAGTCATTCCTGATGCAAAAAGTATAAGAAGTAATAGTGAAGGGTCAATTGTGACAGAATCAAAAATCAAAAGAAAACTTCCCAGGACATTTCATCAGTAAGCAATTTATTTTTAGTTTTTTACAGTATACTATTATATTGGTTGAAATTAGACCTGCATTAACATGATAAACATCCCTAAGGATGAAGTACTATGAAAACAGTTGATACAAAATGTTCATCAAGAAAAGTGGTCACCCAAAAAGCAGATGTTTATATGTTCTGACCACTTTTGTTCTGGTTGCATTGTCCATACTGTTCTGTTCTCAGAAAGCAGACACTTGTATGTTCTGACCACTTCTGTTCTGGCTTCATTGTTCATTGTCCATATGTTCTGGCTTCATTGTCCATACACAATCTTTTTACTGAGCTAGATCACCATATTTTTGACTCACCAGTTGGTGAAAATATGTTATATTTCAGTTGACCAAGAGCATCATCAAGAGTTACTGTGAGGTTAAATTTTACCATCTTGGAAAAAAGACCACTGAGAATTCATCTGGACAAAAAATTAGAAAGAAATTAAATAAACTTGTACCTTTTACTGTAAGCACCAGTGTGAGTGATCACACAGAATGTATCAGAGAAAGCTAAATATTACTAAAATTTACTATGAAACTGCCCAAGCTGAAAGTGCAGACTCTGCCTCAAACATAATTTTACTAAAGATTTATAGTGATAACTGCCCAAGCTGAAAGTGCAAACTCTGTCTCAAACATTTCACTAAAGATTTACAGTGAAAACTGCCCAAACTGAAAGTGCAGACTCAGACTGTCTCAAACATTTCACTAAAGATTTACAGTGAAAACTGCCCAAACTGAAAGTGCAGACTCTGTTTTTACAGTATAAACTGCCTACGCCGATAGTCGAAACGTTACTTACCAACTTCCATTTCCATAAAGTGTTGCCAGAAACCGTAAGTACATGTATTGATTAGACGATACTTCACCAGAGAATCACTCACAGATTCAAAACAAGTATATAAAGCCAATGTCGTAATTCGAAATTTTTAGCTTTAAAATGCGATTCAAAGACAACAACATCGCCAATTAATGTTTTTTCTTATACCCTTTTCCAAAAAGGCTGCGATTTCAAGGCGAACGTACCTCAAAAAGGTATGTTTAATCCAGAAATGCAAAAAAGCCTCGAAAAGTATAGTATTTTCTATAGCATTTCATTGATGAGTGGGAACGACCAATATGGCCGCCGCCTATTTTCATGGGGGAAACCGCTGAGATTTTTGGCTTCAGTTTTGTATTCCGAGATGCGCTATCTAGTGTATATGAGATATCTATGATTTGGACCGAAAGTGGTGCATTTTCCCGTGCGTAATACAAATTAATACAAAAGTTGCAAATTTCGCAGGGCAACATTTTACAACCAAACTTTGCAATTTTACTAATTTTAACATGCTCTTTCTAGCTGTGGTGATGGTTTTGGTTCTTCTTGCCTAGATCAAAATTTAGCTTATAGCTGGAATTGCCCAATTCCGGCTTTAAATTAAACAAGCTTTAGTTTTGAAAATAGGTTGTTCTCTCTTCAGAATTTGAGTATTCACAAAACAATTCAATAGGGAGGGAACTTAAGGTTACAGAACACATTTGAGTGTTAATTTTGCCTAAAATTTTTTTATTTGTTTCCATGAAAGCACTGATTAGACTAGTTCTACAATCAGACCAAGTTTGAACGAAAAATGTTGAAAACTCGCAGCAGAGTTATTTAATTAATAAAATACATTTCGCTGCAATAAGAAAAACATTGAAAATGTAATATTTAAATTCAATTTTCTCAGGAAGAATTTTTAATTACGGCAATTACTGATTTTCAAACGAGTTGTTCTCCTGCGGGGTTTTAACGAATTTTTCTTAAATTTTCACACTAGGACATAGCTAAAGACGTCAGAGTTTCAAAAACGTGTTCGACTTTTTTCTAATTTTGGATATATTTTAATAATAAGGAGTAAGTTCACTCAAACGATTCAGAAATATATTGCAGTCGTCAAAGAAATCGCCATATCAGGGGAATGACGAAATAAACAAATTTCCCCGCCAACACGCTGTTTTAGAACAACTATTTACTGTATAAAAATGATATTTTCATAAAGTATATCTTAAAACCATGCAGCAGGAAAACAACTCAAAAGCGTAAAGGTACCGCGATTTAAGATTTTCCTGAATAATTCTTAGCCTACATTATTTTATTGTTTGTCAATTTTACAACTTTGTCATATTTTGCATGCACTGGCGAACATTTGGTGATATTGAGCGCGCAGTAGCGATTTTCCGCAAAACGCCAAAAAGGGTGTCCTGTAACTTAAGATTGACCGCAAAACGCAAACGGCAAACTTCAAATCCATTTGAAGGTAAGTTCTACAAGTTTTCGACAGCTAAGTAGCTAATTCATGCTTTAGTTTTAATGAACAAATTGCCCAAACTTTGAACAGCTAACAGTTTGACCTCAAAATACGACTTTGATGTTTCGCTTTGCGGTAGCAGTCTGCCGTAAACTTAATGTTAAGCTCATTAGTGGACGCCATATTATCGCACCGTGAACGACTAATGATGCGTATTAAGAAAAACGTTCATTAACCAATTAAGCGAAGCAGTATAATATGCAGCCCTTTCTTGATGGCTTTTAGTTATCTATCAGTTTCCCACTCTGAGAAGAAGTCAAATTTCTACATATTAGAGGTAAGCTATAGTATATAGTAGTTTTCAATCAGCCACATCTTATTAGAACCAATAATTATAACGAGTATACTGTATAATACATTAAGTTATAGTAGAAGTAAATTAAGTTTATATAGCTATAGCCTTCATTAGTTGGTTTTGTTATGAGCCAATTTCAAGATCATTCAGTTTCTTTCGTTTTGTATAGGCATCCGTAAATTTTTCATCCTTCAATTTCATGGAATTAGAATCATTTTATTCGCCATGCGACCAATCGTTCAGATGACAGCGTTTTGGGCCTTAGTAAAGAATAAGATCCGGGCCTATATTGAGTGCATAAATATATAGTATTTATGGTATCATAAATTTATTGCGTAAGATAAGGGTTTTTTATCAGATCGCTGTTAGTAACGCGCTGTCAAGTTGCTACAAGGTTGTCACTTATCACTCACAACTTGTTGACAAATTGTTGGATTGCCGGACGATAATTAGAACAACTTGTGGCAAGTCTGTTGAGAACACAACCGCTTGCCTCAACAAGCCGTTGACAACTAATCAGACCTGCCAACCCTTGAGAAGCAGAAATAGTGAGTTGCTATCTAAAAAGTCGTGAGATTGACTAAAAAATCGTGAGACTTTAACAACACTAGAAAATAATCAATAGATATTCAATTTTATGATAGAATGCATTTACGTTTTGTTAATATAACCGTAAATGCAAGGCTTATTAAAAATAGGCTGTTTTTTCTTTATGGCTTTAGTAGTTTCCACTGTACAAAAACAAGAAAACTACGAGTAATATTAGGACTAACAGGACAATAAACTTAGCAGGACACGCCTTTTACTTTGTAACACAAACATCACACATACAAAATTCTGGCGTTGTACATTGCGTATTCAGAGGCGCATTATTAATACACTAATAAAGTGTGATGTTTCCTTGGAAGAGTGTGGCTTATTGTAACTAGATGTAGCGCTCTTCGATGATTTCATAAGTTCCGAAAGTCGTGAGATTTGGGGACTTAATCGTGAGATCGTGAGAAGGCATCAAAAATCGTGAGTCTCACGATTAAATCGTGAGACTTGGCAGGTCTGCAACTTGTCAACAAGCTGGGAAAAGCTAAGGCGTGCAAACAAATCACCTGTTGGCAAGTTGTTGAAACAATATTGCTACAAGTCTGCTGCAGGTTTGTTACAACTTGTTTTACGTGTGTACTGCAGCAGCCAATGGACCTATTACCTAATGAACAAAATTTTGATCTAGACAAGTCCAGACAAAAAGTTCATCATAGCTTGAAAGAGCATCACAAAATTAGTAATAGTCCGAAGTCTCGTTGCGAAATGTTATAAAATGCGGATAATATAGCCCTGCGAAGTTTGCCGTTTTTAGTCATTTTGTATTACGCACGGAAAATTGCTACCGCTCTCTGAAAAAAAGGTATCAATTTCCCGCGCGTAATACAAAATGACTGAAAAACGGCAAACTTCGCAGGGCTATATTATCCGCATTAGTTACAACATTTCGCAACGAAACTTCGGAGTATTACTAATTTTGTGATGCTCTTTCAAGCTGTGATGAAATTTTTGTCTAGACTTGTCTAGACTTGTCTAGATCAAAAATTCATTAAGTAATAGGTCCATTTACTTGCGTACAGCCTGATATTTTATTTGTCAAGGGAAAGTTCAATCCAGTTGTGAAATTCACTTTTGTCTCACAGGCAGAAGAACAAAGTGGAAGTATCAGTCATGAATTCTGCTCGTATTCTGTTTCTCTATCTGTTAATGCTATACACAAAGACCTGTAGTTCTTTGCATTCGAGTGCGTTGTTCAAATTGTCCATGTCAGGTAGGTGCTGTAATGAAATTAAAATTTGGAAAGAAACCAAAAGTCGGTCTCACTACAGTAAGATTTCTTGTTCATATCAGGGAATGTTACCCAACCGAAGAGAACGAAAATGTTTTATAAAAAGTACCACCAAAAATTTCAACTCTATCTGAAACAAAAACATGGGATTGATCTCTAGGGGAATTATTAGGGAGCAAATCGATCCTGTGGTTTTCAGGTTCCAAAAGCGTGGTACCGTTTTACTGCTTTTGTAGCGGCTGGAGTACGTCGATAAACCTTTCATCGAGTACTGCTATTTGAGGGTACCAGGGCATGCCCCCTCCCCCCTTAGCTTTGCAACGGAAAGAACCCATAACTAAACTAACTTTATTTATACTGGGTATATATATATGGCTATGATGTTCAGCATTATCTAATGGAACACAAAGAAAATCATGCGGTTTTTAGTTCAGTCCAACAGAATTTACTCTTCTCACACGCGATTGAGGTGTATGTAAGTCAGGGACGCCGGAACTTGGGGGCAGGAGGGGCAGCCGCCCCCGTTGCCCTTTACCAGGAGGGGCAAGGGGGGCAAAGGTGCCCTTTCAATTTAAAGGATTGCCTTGGCGAAATAGCGAATTGTCAGAAATGTTAGTGCGATTCTTTTACGAATTTGCTTCAGAAAACGCAAGAAATGCAGTCATCGAGCTTCAAGAATAGCACAATCGCCTGGCGGAGAACCCCCTCACACCCCTATCATCCAATAAATAGAAAACATGATTAGGCGAAGTTCAACTCGCGATGTTTTGCAAACATCTCTTAGTATATATCAATTCAAAAGTGCCCTTTCACGAAAATCTGCCCCCCTTGCCTTCACATCGTTCCGGCGTCCCTGATGTAAGTGCGTTCTACCGAATTCATTGCATCTCTGATATTTTCTTTAAATTTTCTGCAGGTTACCGTCTATGCGACCATGTAATCAGTGAACACAACACACTGAATTTCCTGGAATGTTCTCTATACTGTCTCAGAGAACCTTCTGACTGTAAATCAATCAATTACAAAGCGAGAAAACATCAACATCCTTCTAACAACTGCCAGCTCAACGCCGCCACGAAAACAACACATCCTCAGAATTTGCTGCCTGATAAAAACTATGATTATTATCAACCGCTGGAAAAGGTATTTTTTATATAGATTTTCTATGAGACTATGAACATTGAACAACAAGTATCACTATTAGGCATGCCACAAACGTTTATGTTCTTTCATAAAACTCATTAATAATTCATGAGGAAAATACAAAAGAAATGAATGTTTAATCAATGTTTGTAAATCGGATAAAGATTTGTCCTGATTTACATAAACTTCAGCTTTGATTTTCTCGGCTTAGACAATGTTTATTTTTAAAATTACTTCGCCAATGAACTCATAACATGGGTTTGTATATCAGATAAAGATAGGCTGCTCATGTTTTATCAAGTACTTAAAAGTAAAACGGAACTGTACAGTAGTTATATAAGAGCGTTATATTTATTGCCCCATAACATTTCCAAAACTAATTAAATTTGTTTTTCAATTGCAGAAAATAGAAAAAATAGAAAAAGTAGAAGATCAAGAGCAAGCAGAAGGACCTGTTAATTATGGTAAGATGACTTGAAACAAAATTTATCTTCACAAACAGGGGAATCGTTTAATTAAGGTGGCTCCCTACAATTTAAAAATAGGGGAAAACCATGAATTAGATCAAACTTTTTGAAGGAATGTTACTTGTCTGAAATAAGAAATTGTACAACGTTTATAAAGCAACAGTCTAAGAATACGAAATTGGTCACAAAAGTGACGTTACCACTGTTGCTATGGCAACAATGACTCAAGATGGCCGATATTTTGGCTTTTAACGCACTTTACTTAAAAAAACGCCTGGTTACCCCCAATTTTTATTTCAGAAAACATTTTCTTGTAGTACAATGAACTATCTGACCAAGTTTAAAAAAATCCTTTAAAATTTTTTATAATTGGTCAGATAATTTATTGTACTACATGAAAATGTTTTCCGAAATAAAAAAATGGGGGCAACCAGACGTTTTTTTAAGTAAAGTGCGTTAAATTAAAAGCCAAAATATGGCCATCTTGAATCGTCATTGTTGCCATAGCAACAGCGGTGACGTCACTTTTGTGACCAATTTCCAACTGTTTGATTTGTTGCTGTACATATCGTGTACAATTTTTGATTTCTAGCAAACAACATCTCTTCAAAGACTTGATCTAATTTATGCAGGTTAAGGTTGAAGTTAGGTTGAGGTTAGATTAGTAAACTCGGATTTATTAATTTACTTTTTCTTAGCAAAAAGTTGTGATGACCTGTACAAATCAGGCAAGACAACCACAGGTGTTTATATAATCGACCCAGATGGCCTGGGAGCTTTTGCTGTTCGTTGTGATATGGAAACCACTCCAGGGCGAGGCTGGACTATATTCCAAAGACGTGTAGATGGCTCTGAGGACTTTTACAGGAACTGGACTGACTACAAAACTGGATTTGGCAATTTGTCTGGGGAATTTTGGCTTGGTTTGGACAAGATTCATCGTCTCTCAGCCAGTGGGCAGAATCTACTGAGAGTTGATCTCGAAAGCTTTGAAAACGAGACTGCTTATGCAGTTTATGAATCATTTTCTGTGGGAAATGAAAGTGAAGCTTACATTTTGAATTTTGGGACCTACTCAGGTAATAATAATCCCCGAGCCGACGGCACGAAGCGCCGTGCGAGGGTACTAATTCCCCCCGGCTATTTACACCCGGGGAAATGAAAGCATTAGCGAAGTCTAAAGTTCATCAATGATCGCGGGCGTGGCTCACCAACGAAGTTTCGGTGGGTGGTCATCCTCACCGATCTCATAATATAGCGGACTGTCATGAATAGCCAACACTGATTGGTCCAATTTAAAATTTGCATTATAACGACTGCATGACGACAGCGAAATAGCAAACATTTCTTGATTGATAAATTTCTTGCAAATATATTTCATTTTTGCTTGCATTTTTGCAAGATTTTGTAAATTTCAAAAGCTTTCTCAGAAAGAAAGGGCGAAAGAATCGGCTAAAAGAAGGGAGGCGACGTTAACGAAGGTAAGTTTGTTTTAAATATTGATTTTATAATTGCTTGCTTTAAAATCCGACGGCCTTTGCGTATATGAAACCATAGGTGCCCAAAAGTGCGTGTTGAAATTTTTACCCTCGCGCATGGCGCTCGGGCATGTCTACTCAGTTTATTATTATGACTAGTCATAATAATAAACTGAGTAGACTCGATGCATGCCCGAGCGCCACGCGCGAGGGTAAAAATTACAACACGCACTTTTGGGCAGCCTATGATGAAACAACTAAACAAGACAGCATATAATTTCAGTGTATCTTTAGGGAGTGGTCATTATTTATGGGGAGGGGGGGGGAATGGGGAAAATAAGGATTGAAAACTTTTTTGACCCCCCCTCCAGACTGAAGGCAAACTTTTTGTGCCTCCCCCCTCATAAAAGTAGAAACTTTTCTGACCCCCCCCCAGTGTGGATTGAAAAATTAACAGCAATGAAACAGGTGTGCGTTGCAGGTAAAGTTAGATATTAGGACAATCTGTTTAATCTAGCTCATGATGTTTTACCCTGGTGAATATGATTCAACCATATATGATTAAAAATATATATTATGTGTTACTACTTTGCAATGCAACATTTGTCCTACCATAACCCTAACCCATGACCCGTCTTCATACAGCGAAATGATTTGAACACAGGGTTTTTTTAAGAACTTGTCTGGGGGTGGGCATCTACAAAAAGGGACCATACTATATTGAGTGTGGAGAAATGACAGATGGTTGTTGTATTTTCTACCCCTAGAACGGAAATGTGAGCATTTTCTGAAACAGATTTTTGGATATACAGCGTTACATTGTGCGTTGATAGACCGAATCTGATCAGTTAAGTGTACTTGCATGGTATGTTTATGTAAATACCACAACTGGGTCACTCAGGAGGTAGAAAGCTTGTTAAACGTAGTGGCCCGACTCCCACGATCGCGAGGCGCTACCATGGTTGGCACCGAGCAGGGAAATTTTGAAAATTCCGAGTCTCTAGATCGTTGGAAATAGCATTTTCAGGGTCTTCTTTTTTGCTATTTGTGATTATAGAAATCAGAACTCTAGACATGGTATTTAAGTTAAAAAACTTTTATGACCCCCCCTTGTCTGTGTTAAAACTTTATTGACCCCCCCGTATTTATGAGGGTAAAACTTCGTTTGTCCCCCCCCCCTCCCATTTCCCAACCCCCCTCCCCATAAATAATGACCACTCCCTTAATATTGATTCCCTTTTTTGTTATATTGAATTTTTTAAATAAAAAAGAAAGCAAAGTTATTTGCATGCGAGAATTTGAAATCATTTTATTGCAAACTCAAAGTTTATCGATAAAGCCATTTAATTAAAGGCAGTTTTAATAGTTTTAATATAAAGAACACTTTAAAACGTTTTGCGAAGCGTTTGTGGTTGAATTTTACCTTAAATTGAAGCTTATATTACGTATAATAACATATACCTAACATATATATGTTGGGAAATTGATAATTTTGTAATTAAAAGTGATATTTTTAGGCGATTTTTCATTTGTAAGAATATTCTTAAAAAATTATCGTGTTACCATGACAACTACTTTAGATACTTATGTTCGGAAAATACAATGGTTTTATCAGCAAGGCAAGGGTTTCTGCATGCATGTATTTAACAGTTATTCTACGAACTCGAGTCGAATACGAGCTGATAGCCGATGAGGCGCGTAGCGCCGAATCGGCTATTGCTCATATATATTCGACGAGAGTGAGTGGAATAACTGTTTTATTATATAAACAAGGTTTGAATTCACAGACTTTGCTTTTCAGATATTTTCAATATTTTTCTATTTTGTTTATGTTTTTATCTTCGCTCTTTCGGCCGAGTATTTTTTCAAAAATATATATTTTTAACTATTTTAAATTTTAAAAATTCATTTGCTAGCCTGTAAGCAATTTGTGGGAGTTTTTTCGTTGTGTTTTTACTGATCCTGTAAAGGCTATAAAAAGCGAACAACTTGCCGTTTTCTCGTTCGCAAAATGTCGGAAATTCAGTTTGAGCCGCCATTTTGTTTTTCTCTACTAGCAGGATATGAGCTAATATCCTCATAGGAATATCCTGCTAGTAGAGAACCAATCAGATTGCAGAATACCTCATATATGAGGTATTCTGCAATCTGATTGGTTCTCTACTAGCAGCCGGATATTAGCTCATATCCTGCTAGTGAATGTGCTAGTGAGAGAAAAACAAAATGGCGGCTCAAACTGAATTTCCGACGTTTTGCGGACGAGAAAACGGCAAGTTGTTCGCTTTTCATAGCCTTTACAGGATTAAAAACACAATGAAAAAACTCCCACAAGTTGTTTACAGGTGAATGAATTAGCAAATGAATTTTTAAAATTTAAAATGGTTAAAAATATATATTTTTGAAAAAAATAATCGGCCGAAAGAGCGAAGATAAAAACATAAACAAAATAGAAAAATATTGAAAATATCCGAAAAGCAAAGTCTGTCAATTCAGACCTTGTGTATGTAATAAAACAGTTATTCCACTCACTCTCGTCGAATATGAGCGATAGATTCCTCCGAGTCGAGTTCGCAGAATAACTGTTAAATACTGCTGAGACCGATCGGTACTGCTTAATTGACTACTCGATCTGATTAAAAGCATAATTTAAGTTTTACAGCACTTAATTTTGAGCCAGTACAACAATATTGTGGTGTCGTAGTGACCACGCCTTCCATTTCAAGTTCAGAGACCGGGTTCAATCCTTGGTCGGATCTCTACTGAAGGTCTTAAGGGACCGGTCATTATTTATGGTGGGGGGTGGCACCGAAGAGAAATGTTTTTCGTGGCAAAAATTTTGCTGACCCAACCATTAAAAAGTAAAATATTTGGTTACCCAACCTCAAATATCAATTAAAAAAGAAATACCCACCCCTGGTCAAAAACATTACAAAAATATACCATTCAGTTGTCTTACCACTTCTGTGACATGAGTTTGATAACGGATTGTGAAATTTTCTCCAGTCTAAAGTTTCATGTTGTCTGCACATGTACTTTCTTTGGAGACACCATTTGTCTCCCAACAAATCGGAAAATGATCAAGATATATATAGTGACTCTGATTGATTCACATATTGTATTGACATATGACTGTTGACATTCCTTTTTAGTCTCCAATATTTCAGTGAGTCATGCTTGGAAATAACAATAATTTTTTATTACCCAACCCTTGAGTTGTTTTGTTTTTCATTTACCCAACCATTTACTTACTCAAAATTTTGTTTACCCAACCATTTTCTCTTCGGTGCCACCCCCCACCATAAATAATGACTGGTCCCTAAAATAACAACATTATGAGCTCCACCTTTGAATTTACCATACGAGTAAATTCTTAAACACGTCCGAATTTATCATTATGATAAATTCGCGGCACATTTTGAATTTATCAATAGAGTTAATCATAAAACCACAAGCATTAGACAAGACTTCTTGTTATAAATGTAATGGCACTAAAAGGGAGGGCGACGCAAGGATGGGGACATTTTCAAGATTTTCAAAATAGTTTTTAAAAACGTTTTTAAAAAGTTTTAAAAGAGTTTTAAAAAGCAAAAAAAGCTTAAAAAGTTAGATTTTCAAAAAAGTTTAAAAAGTTTAAAAAGTTAGTTAGGGTTAGGGGTTAGTGGTTAGTGGTTAGGGTTGGGGTTAGTGTTAGGTGCCGCGAATTAATTTATTATTATGATAAATTCAAAATGTGCCGCGAATTTATCATAATGATAAATTCGGACGTGTTTAAGAATTTACTTGTATAGTAAATTCAAAGGTGGAGCTCATGCTGTAAAATAATTGAAGCGAAAGTGCCACCTTTGCATTGAGATCAGTAAAATGGTTAGACTTTTGCGTCTTCTCAGATAAAAACGTTAAAGTCGTAGGTACCTCGGATCCCCTATCAACTGCTCATAAGTGAGTGAGAAACTCGATAAACAATAAAAATTTTCAGAAGCTTTTAAAAGCAAAATCGCGTGTGTTTTTTTGTAACATCAAATAGTAAAATTAAAGGAAATAACACTGAAACTACACGTGACATACATTCGGTGACTTGATTGGCTAAAATATTTATGAATTATTGAGTTTGATTTTTTCCTGAATATTTACTTTACAGGGGCAGCAGGTGATTCGTTAGCAGTCAACAATGGGATGAAATTCACCACTCCAGGCGTCGACAATGATGGGAGAGGGGGTGCTAACTGCGCTACAAACAAGAGAAGCGCATGGTGGTATAATTCATGTTCGAATGCAGACTTGAATGGTAAATATCTAGGAGGTGTTCACACGGAAGGAAAGAAATGCGTTATATGGCTTGGCTTTAAAGGAGACAATTATTCTTTAAAGAGCAGTGAAATGAAAGTAAGACCTGATAAAGTTTAAAACGCTCGTTTTATTATAAACCATTTTGAGAACTTTGTAAAATTTTGTTCTTTAAACTGATAATATAACTAAATATAAAATTTGTTTATTCAAAGCTTTTGACTTCTGCCTATGCAGGGCCTCTTTTAACATATAGACTGGGGGGGGGGGCATGTCCCTCCCCCCAGCCCTCTTACTGGCCCCTCCAGTGGTCAACCAGAAATTATGCATCAAAGTGAGAAAATGATGTTAAGTTGTTAACATTTCTGAATTTGACCATCATCTGCAGGCCCGTAACCAGCTACAGTATGAGTCAACCGAGTCAGTTGACTCGATAGGCCAGAATTTGGGGACTGAAATTTAAACATCGCCAGAAACCTAAACCATGACTGAAATAATTTGCTCGTGGAACAAGGCATGAAATGGCATTTTAGGACGAAATTCTAGTTTAGTTTTTCCAAGCAAAGATACTCCAAAGAGACCACCCTATCTTGCTCTTCAATGACACTGAGAAGACGAATGCGTCGATTTCAAGTACCCTAATACATATAAAACAGTATTGTAGAATTTGAAGTGTGGTGAATGATAATACTTAGTATACCACGCACATTTTCATTACCGCATCATCACACCATGTTGCCTTATTGCATGGGACTGAATTACATGCATTTGGGAGACTGTGAAATTGCAGTAATTGTGTCACTGTTTATAAGGTTAATTTCTTGTTGGAAAACTTCTCAAAATGATGGAAATAGCTTTTCTGAGCTTCAAGAAATCCAAAATTTTCTGGGTGGCATGCCCCCAGACCCCTCTAGAGGCTCGCACCTTCGGTAGTCGACTCGGTTGTCTCAGAATCCTTGTTGCGGCCTGATCTGCTGCCCTATGACGTATACTTGCATATATATGCATGGGCATATATATGCTGGTAGCTGCAGTTATACAGACTTGCCGATTGGAACTTCTCCAGGTCCCCCGCTAAATATGGCCCGTCCAGTTACACATACTTAAAAGAGGCCCTGTGCCTATGCGCACCCGCAACGACCTGCATAGGCCTGCCTTGCTGTCGTGCGTTCATACGTAAAATGTTTGAGCCCTGGTGTATGATCTAATAAACGTCCGGGGCGCCTATTAGCGAGAGAGGCGTTAATTCTTATTACATACGGTAATTTCACGCTTCTCAAACAACGCGTTCCATTTTTTTTGTCATGGGCATAGAAATGTCAACAAAACAACCTGCGTTCTAATATATAATTATTATACAAAATAAATGTTGAATTGACCGTGGCGTCTCTAAAGGCCGTTTTCCATTAACGTTCGCTTTGCCCACGCGGGCGAAGCGTTCATTGTTTTTGAAGCCCGTCACGCCCGCGTGAGCAGATTTTCAAAGCCCGCTCCGCCCGCGCGGGCAAAGCGACTGCAATGGAAAATTGCCTTAGGGGCCGATTACATGGAGCATTTTCAACCCCAGGGTTGAACTCAGCCCTGTTTACCGGGTTGAAATTTAAGCCCTGTCTGTAATACAAAACTCTGACTATCAAAATCAAACGCGCGATTACATGACAAAATTTTCAACCCAGAGCTGAGTTCAACCCCGGGGTTGAACTCAGCCCTGGGTTGAAAATTTTATCACGTAATCGTTTCAACCCAGGGCTGAAATTATCATGAGTTATTCGAGCATACGTGGTAGTGACTATTTATTACAAGAAAACAAAATAAAGGCTTTTTACTTCCGGGAATCGTTGCCGAGAACGTATAGTATAGCGTTTCAACCTCGGGGTTGAAATTGTCCATGTAATCGCAAAAAATTTCAACCCAGTTAACAGGGCTGAGTTCAACCCCGGGGTTGAAAGTTCTCCATGTAATCGGCCCCTTAAAGGCCATTTTCCATGTACTGGGCGGAATTTTCTCCGCGGAGCGGAATTTCTCTTTGTCTTTTCTAATTAGTTCCACCCGAAAAATCACAAAACAAAGAAAAATTCCGCTCCGCGCGGAAAATTCCGCCTAGTGGAAAACGGATTTTAGCTAGGGAACGAGGCGTTTAGAATGGCCGTTTATTGTACCATTTTCTGTGCGAACACACGCATGGAAAAAGGAACTGTAGCTGGAAATAGGATGTTCTCCGATCTGTCGAATGTAGAATTTTTTCGAGAGAGTACATGTAAGCAAATTATATTGGATTGTGTTTTTTGAAATGGCGATTGGACAATTACAGAATAATTTAAACCATTTCCCGTGCGTGTACCGCGTATATGTATGAAAAACGCATAACTGTGAAGCAGCCTTATGCACTTAAAGCGAAATGGCAATATAAATTTTTATTTTCTCATTTGAAAGAACTTTTGAAACTATATATTAATTATTACTGACTTCCTTTACCGATTTTTCATATCTTGCTTAGTTCTTTAAATATTTTCACTTGAAGTAATGAGATGTCTTCCATCTTGGATAATTTTTTGACGTTAATGAACGGTAGTTTTGACGTCACAACAGGGATTAACCATATAAAAGTATTCATTGCTGACCAAATATTGATTGGTAGATGTTTTAAAGGTTTCAGTGAGGGATCTTGATATTTCCAAGGGCAGACAGAGTATAGTTTTGAGTGCAAAATGATTAGTGGTTGTTTAGATAAAAATATTGTTGTGACGTGACGTGCATATCTGCAAAAATTGAAGATGGCGAACATTTCATTCCTTTCGATTAAGGGGCTGATTACATGGAGAGTTTTCAGCCCGGGCTGAGTTTCAGCCCGGTCTCCCGGCCTGAGGATAAAATCCTATTAAAACACAGTAAGCGATTACATGACCAAAATTCCAGCCCGGGCTGAGTTTCAGCCCAGTTTGAGCTGCCCGGGCTAATTTCAGCCCGGGCTAAAAAAACAACCGTTTAAATGGCTTTATTTTGCGTGTTTGTTTAAGTTTTAAACACTTTACAATCATATAACCACAGTCTCGCACAAGTCAAATGGTGGACTAATCAGCGTCTGATTGCTTCAAAGAAGTGTAACACGCTTATTGTCCTATTTCGTGACACTCAGATTATTTCAGCCCGGGCTGACATTTCAGCCCGGGTGTTGATGATAAATATAGCTCTGACTAAACTCAGCCCGGGTTGAAACTGCTCATGTAATCGTGATGCAATTTCAGCTCGTTTAACCGGGCTGAAACTCAGCCCGGGCTGAAAACTCTCCATGTAATCAGCCCCTAAAATATTAGTAGAAGTAAGCAAGATAAGGAAAAACAGTAAAAGAGTATTATATATAGTCTTAAAAGTTCTTTCAAATGAGAAAATAAATAAATATATTGCCATTTCCCTTTAAGATAACTGGTGTTGGGTGCACTGTTAGTGATAACTAGTTGTAGTCGTCATAAGTTAATTTGTAGTCTGTAGTTCTGTAGTTGATTAATGTAATTTATATGTATAAATAGAGTGATCACTGTCGCCTATAGTTTGGCCAGTTAGGCCTCTAGGTTTTAAACATTGAACAGAGTTTGTGGAAAATTTAATGTATATTATATATCTAAAACTCTCTTGAAAATTAAATTGTAGTTGAAACAAAACATGGGACTAACCTCGAATTATTATAGTGCGATTGAATGCTGTGATTTTCAGCTTGCAAAAGCCGCGTAGTGCTGTCGTTTAAAAAAAGGTCCTCAGATTTAGATTAGGGTTAGATTAAGGTCAGATTAAGATTAGATTAGGGTTAGAGGATCGGGGTTAAGGTTGAGGATAGGGTTCAAATTAATTAAATAGAACAAGTTTATCTGCAGTAGGAGTGAGACAAACGTCCAACAACGAAGATCAGAAGTCATTGTCACACAAGTGGATGAAATAATGATACAAACGGTATAACGAACGGCCATAACTCCTTCAGAAAATAAAATGGCGGGAAGGTATTTTGAACACAAATGTGAAATGAAATTGCCCTTGAGGAACTAGATGAAAATACGAACAAAAGCACCAAATTTTGCTTTAACAAAAGAACTAAATGAAAATACGAACAAAAGTACCAAATTTTGGTTGAAAGTCTGGCAGGACTGGGCTTTGGCGAGAGAATATGATTCAATTTTGTCATGCTAATAATAAACAAGTAATCATGCGATGTTGCTCGTACAATTAGGGATTAATAGTACTCGTGATGTTTGGAAATTTGCCAAATTGGACTCGCCCCGGCGGCTCGTCCAATTTTGAAAAAAATTCCAAACATCACGAGTACTATTAATCCCTAATTGTACGAGCAACATCGCATGATTACCTATACAAATTATACATACACTACAGTGTGTAAAAGGCAATTTAAATAAATGAAGTTTATTGGTATAATAGCATAGTTGCCCGGGTTTCTTTTGTTTCAACAGGGACGTTTAATCACGTATCGCCCGCTGTAGCGGGCGATTAGTTCTAATCGCCCGCTAGAGCGGGCGATTAGAACTAATCGCCCGTTACCAAGGGTCACACCTTTGTCTCCCTGACGACTACGCATTAGGCAAGTGCCTCACGCACATAATCGCGCAAGGAACAGCAACAGTTAGCTCAGAGCCGTCAATAGTCTATCATCCGATCCCTGAGTTGCCGCATCATTTAAATTACGCACGTGCAGTCTTCAAATTTATACTAATATATTTAGCGTGTTTGTTGTGGTACGTTAAATGATAGATTGCGCATGCGTAACCGATTAAAGCGTAAAAAGTGCGCATGTGCAACAAGCTTTTACATCCCACACGCAATGAAGCAAATGTTTTAGCTTAAATACGCTGATTCCAAGTAGGGCATGTTTGTCCATTTTTAAATGGGAGCGAAACTATGCTATTACAAACTAATAGCATGGCTTTTCGGGAGATTAGTGATTAAATGACCCCTTACCCTCGGCAGGTTTGCGGAATTCCCTTGGGCTTCGCCCTCGGGAATTCCGCAAACCTGCCTCGGGTTACGGGGCCATTTAATCACTAATCTCCCTCAAGCCATGCTATTACTTATAATAATCAATCCCCAGGGCTTTGGTCGTAAAGCAGCACTTCCCTTGCGATAGTAACTTCTAGTTTAATTAATAATTAGCTTATACCTTTTTAAAGTGACGCCATATATATTTATACAGCGATATTAACTGCAAAACTTGCTGAAATTCAGACATTATTTTCTCTTTGGCGTACCATCTAAAATCTCTTCGTTTTAGCATTATTTTACAGATAAAGCACTAAACATACTTTTTAGGTCTGTTTGTCTTTAAGTAAGTCACTGATTTGCAATATGGCACAAAAATGACCCCCTATAGCCGACCCTAAGTCAGGGCGCAAGACTCAAGTCGACGAACCTTATGTTAACCATCTGTTGTTTCTGTTTCGATGCGACCGAAGATATTTAAAAGATAAAATCACCCGAAAACATTATTAAATTGTTACCACTCTTGTGACGAGCAGTAAATTATCCCTGTGGAATTTTTATATCGATGCAAAGCGGCCAAGGTGACGACAACTGATTCAATTAAATTCTCGTCTTTTTTATGTTGGTATTTTTGAAGCAAATATGATTGAACTGCAAACAGATTTAGTTGCTCGGAACAAAACACGAACAGAAATGCTTTTCAGATATATAACACGAGTCGACAGCCGAGTGTTTTATATCTGATAAAGCACGAACTGGAAGTGTTTTAAATGGCTTAAAAAACGACCCATCTTTTGAGTTCACTGGCGAAGTAATTTTAAAACTCGACGTTGTCTAAGACGAGAAAATCGAAGCTAACGTTTATGTAATGACCATGATTTTTTATCGCATATAAATAAAAATACCGACACAGTAAACAAGTGATTTCGTTTGTTTTTCGTTATGAATTATTGAATTTTTTAATGCATATAACACGACTTATATATTGGAAAAATACTCACACCTACAGGCCATAAGAAAGGACCTATTTAGGTCTTGTTTTCTTCTTCAAAAACGTATTGAAAAGAATACTTAGACCTGATCGACACGCGTGTGCTGTGAGATAAGCACAAATTGTATAGACTTGCCACACACACATGCGAACCAGTTTTTTTAAATGACCAAATAATAACATCCAAGGTATTTTATTTGCTTGCCTCATTCCTGACGTTTTCCTGTTTGTTTAATGCACAAATTAATACTATTTCTGTAAATGTGAACGTAATTACTGTAATTAATATTAAGCGTCCATATCAATTAAGAACATGAAGGGTTTCACAAAAACATTTTTAAATAGGCTCTTTGCTGTTAACTGTGACGCCGAACTGGGTTTAGCAGAAACTTTTCCCAACCATAAAACTCATGTCTTCAACTTCTAAGACTGTATTAAATTCATACGATTGATAATATACGACGAACTATCTTTACTATACCATTTATTTGAAGGAGTTTGTTTTGGCCGTCGTCGTCGCGTTGCCGTCCTAAAATCGTAAGGTCTCTAATATGTGACAAAGAACGACCCCAATTTTTTAATTAATAATTTTAATTGTTTAAATTTTCAAAATATTTAAACCTTTTTTAGTTCCTATAATCTAGTAGTTTTCATAGTTTATTTCGTATATGACTCCATAGGAGTCGGAGTAAATAACAACCATTTCAGGAATACAGGTCCCCAGTACTTGTCCCATTACTTATTCTACACCAAAAAATGTAACAATTAAATGTTGGAAGGGGGTCCTACGTTTTCTAGATGAAGATTGGGGCGTTTTGAAAATAAAGGTCTTGCGATTGGGGCGGCTCTAATAAATGTTCAATATTTGGT